ACAAAATATTATCATATTATCTTATTATTCCATAATGTCATAAAACATTTGTTTAATCAAAATGAATGGAAGGCACCCTGGTAGTGGTGTTGCCATGTGGTACACTGAAAAATTGCAATAGCAGGTGCGTCACCAAAGTTCGTCTGTCACTTCGTTTGTGATAATACTCTTCCGGTTGCCATTATTCAACTTAAATTTGACGTGCTTTAAGTTAATGATCATACCTTTCGCCCGAGGGAGGCGACACATCTAAATCTCAATTCTAGATGCTCCAAAAATCTCACACTAGCGAATAAATCTTCGAAAAATCTTCTTTCATTTCTCGCATCTACTTGCATCGCGCATCATCTTTTTGCAGGATATCTTCAAAATCGTGATAAATCTTCTTTTTATCTACTCAGCTAGCCACAGCAAAACACAATATTTCCTGCATCGTAGATAGAGTCGTCCCCCTCGCTTTCGCCAGACATATTCTTAAGTGGTGGATGGAAAATGGATTTTTGTTTCAGGGCTTAATGTATTTTGTTATTGATTCAAACATATTGTACCACTAATTCAACAAAACATATTTTTAAATAAACAAAATGGTTTTTAGAATCAACAAACAGAGTATTGACTCTACAACCGGTTTGTTGATTCAAAAATATTTTTCTTTGAATTAGCCGAATAATATATTTGAATCAATACCAAAAATATATTAGGCCCTGAGCCAAAAATATATCCATTTGAATTTAAAAATCATTTCTCTGCGTGATGGAGGTGGCTTTTGGCCTGGGTACTGCGGAGTCGACCAATTTTATTTTGCAAGCCAATGGAAAACTGCTTGAAAATTTTCTCAAGTTTAAAGCTGGTTTGCTCTTTCTCAGTTGATTCCCGCCAAAAGCTCTGAGCCAGGAGTGCTCGAGCCCCCATGACTCTATCAAAGTTTGTTTACATACATGTTTCGCCAAAGTATGTTGTACTGTAATTGAAAACTCAGCTGCCTCATAAAAACTAAGCTGGTTTTTATACTTTCATCACTGAGCCTGTTGGTTTTCATCTTTGAGCTTAAAATTAAGAATGTTCTATGAAAAAGTATAGATCATTTTTATGAGATTACAATGCGGTAGACGGTAGATGCATTTGCTGCTTCTGAATGTTTGGCTCCCGCTTGACAGTTCACACTGACTCCCAAGTGACAAGCACCTTCAGTGAGTCCGCAGTACTCAGCTTTTGGCCATGCCCTAACTCCCTTAATTTTTCCAAACGTTTTTCTTTCACCATCCCCAGCCCCTTACTTAGCCTCCTCTTTGTCCTTTATCCACTTGGCATAGTCTACTATCCCAAATTTATAACAGTAATACGCGTCATACTTACATTTGAATACACACTGAACCAATATGACATATTCCTGTTATGTGGAAATCTTATAAATTTGCGCTATAAGATAATCCATTGAAAATTATATGATTGAAATTGTGCCAGGTAAATTCTATATGAATATCTGATACATTTACAATGCTGATAATTTGGTAACTTTTATATGATCGTCGTATGATAAATGAAAATCGATCAAATTATAATAATTAACTGAAATGGATTTGAAACCCATAAGCATAAGCTACACTTTTCACCACAATATAATATATGTGTCATAAATCAATCGAAGTAAAGTTTGTGTGAAAATCACATGAAATTTACTTCTTCTTTTGACACATATATTTAATCGATTTCTAAAAATAAATCGATAAATAAACATCAGGCAGTGGGAGCTTTCACAGTTGTGCCTTTTTTTATTGTAGCTGATTTGGGATTCGATCAAGGACTGTTGAGGTGTGATGCTTTCGGTTTCTGCGCTCGATTTCACTGGGCCACGGCTGACTTCAAGATTGAGCTCGTTCAAATAGCATGAAGTAAGAACAGCTCTCCCGACATGGAATGCAGTGCAACGTTATGCTTGTTTTGCTAGAGTGAAGACAAATAGCACTGACAAATTTATGTTCCGTTTCGGTGGTGTGGTTTGTTCAAATCTTTCTTAATGCACCTGTGTGCAATAAATCAACGACTAAATTATATAAGTTGATGTAACTGGTTCATGAAGTTCGAGTACTAGGGCTGGAATCTGAATTAGCCGTGTAGAAGGCTTACAATTAGAATCATAGCAAAGTAAATATTGCAGTAGAATCATTTTTTTTTTCAATCTCAATACATTCTTTTCCGGAAACAAACAAAGATTATTCAATACAGTATCATTGTTGTTAGTAGTATTTAGTTCAACTAATCATTTTAATGAGTGTACGATAACATCGTTGAAAATTGTTTCAATAATTTATAAAGAACAATCATGTAAGATGTATTTTATTGGGAGCGATATTCAGTCCAGAAAAACATGCAAAAACAAACGTTTGCTGTTGGATTTCTTAAAAGGCATATCTATATGACTATTAAATGATTGTGATGGATCTGTTTACAATCTTTAAACCTCAAAAATCACAGGAAGCTATTCCAATGAGATATACATGTTTTCCTATACTGCAAAGTAAAATGACAGTCCAATAGTTTCTTCATGTCTGTTTACACGCGACATATCAACAAACGTCAAAAATCATTAAAAGCAACTCCAATAAAATATACATCATTATCTTATAAGATATACATTTTAGTGAGCAATATTCATCATGAAAACAGGTATATTTTACTGGATTTTCTCATAGAGCAAACTTATATGATTTTCCATTAGTTTCTAGATGTCTGTTCCCACCCATGACATATCAACAGTTTTTCACCATGAAATATATCAAACAATATTCATATACTTATTACCTATCGCTAACCACGTTCGAAGCAAAGTATTATCAAGTACTAAGTATGTGAAATTACGATAGAAATCATTCCATATCGCAGTCATAGCTTTTAAGTGATAATCCAATGGAATCTATCAATCATCACATAGAATGAATAAATCTGCTGACATTGCTATGTTATAAGATGGATCCAATAAACGGTACATGTCGATTTGTTTCAGTGCAGGCAGCTGCTGTTTCTCAGCATCGCTTGCTTCCTCTCTGTCTTTGTTGTTTGACGATGCAGCTCCACTCACTACAGCAGCGTACGTACTGTTACTACTCTCTGCTTCATTCCATTGTTGATTTTCCTCGTCTTGTTGTTGTTTTACTGGCTGCTTCCGTTCCTTCCACTTGGGACAGGAATTCATCCGATGTCCCTCCATCTCACAAAGGAAACATAAGTTTTTGTTCCCTTGATAGAATATGTTGCCCTTCCGATATATACACCTCATACACCTGTGTACATGTCTAAGGACAAATCCACAGGAAAATTCTTCAGGATGACACGCTTCACATAACCGTATTTACCCAGCACCAATGCTAGATCGCAATCCTGAACTTATGGTGGAAGATCACTCGCACGTATTAAACGTTGCCCCCGCAGGCGACCTTTCCATCCACATTAATTGCTCACGGCAAGGTTGCACATACTCATTTCAGCTAAAACAATTTTTTTTAATTACGAAATAATTAGATGCCATGATCATATTTTGAATTGGTAGGATACAAGAAGAGGTTGCAAAGAATGTGCTTGACATATTAAACCTGTTTTTTTTTACTTTAACACTCTTGGGTCATTCGTGACTTGTCCGGGGGTGAGATTTGAACTCGTGACTTTGGCGTGAGAGGTATGGATGTTCAACATTACGCCATAGAAAGCAAACATTATCACGCATATGGTATATGACGGAAATGAAAATATATTTTAAGCATTTCTCACGTGAAAATACTTGAAGATTACACGTAATATGTTAAATTTATTTATCATATACATATTTATCTTTAAAAAAAGTAAAGAATACGGGGCATAACCAAGGGGTGCGACACATCTAAATCTCGATTTTAAATGATCGAAAAATCTCACATGAGCGAATCAATCTACGAAAAATCTTTTTTAATCTCTTGCATCTAAACCCATCTACTCGCATCGCTCTCCACCTTTTTGCAGGAAATCTTCAAAATCATAATCAATTGTGTTTCTATCTACTAAGCGCGAGTGCATCTCATAACAGCAAAGCATCTTAGATAGAGTCGCCCCCTCGGACATAACGTATATTAAAGAGCGGTGAGTGACGTCCTATCCATATGGTCTTGATGTCCTATCCATATGGGACTGTTATGTGATTATCAGTAGTATACCAACAACAGACGTCGGCCGGTGGTGTAGTGGTAAGCGTGACTGCCTTTTACGCCGGGATTTTCTGGAGGCATAAAATCTCTGATCCCGCCTTCCTTCTAAGTAGCCGTTGGTCTCCATTCCATGAGTTTGTGATTGGTCCCGGGCCCAAATCATTTGTGTTTGTCACCCCTATTCTGTATTTCGTTTCGAACGAAATTCTCATACAAAAAAATATTTTTTTGTATGAGAATTTCGTTCGAAACGAAATACAGAATAGGGGTGTGTGTCTTGGAGATCTCAAACTCCCAAAAATCTTATATACGTTTTAGGCAAATTTAGTATTGCAGACATGAATAAATGTTATAGGTTCTGAGACATAAACATGTTCAAGGTTCTAAAATTAACAAAATATTCAAAATTCGAACATCAGATTTATTTATTTTATTTCTAAATAAATGTTTGGTATCCCGTACTAAGGAAAAGTTCGAAATTTCAAACTTCGAGCGTGTCACAACTATTTTTGCATTTTAAGGTAACAATCAAATGCCCGGTTATTTCCTGGTTTACCCAGGTTATTTTCGATTCCCTGTTGATTCCCGGTTCAGTGGCCACGCTGCAATTATTACATATAAAAATGATATAAACTTTAAGATGGCCATCTTGCCCCGTCTACTCCTACAGCAGAACATCCTCTCAGCTTCAGCCGGGAAATTCCCACGATGGACTTACCTACAACATGTCATAAGAGTCGGAGAGCACCAACAGTAAGTGTCCTAGACGTTTGTCATAGAGGTTCGAAGAATTCCATAGCAAGAAATCTGAAAAATAAATAAATCGTACTTCATTTATCGTTATTCATCGACAAATACCTAAGATTTATCCTCTTATCAACTATATACAACAACTACTCCTCGTTCCTATCCTAAAAGCAAATGATTTGAGATGCATCAGCTAGAAGACAACTATTGTTTTGTGGGCAACTTTTAATCTACACTAGATGCTGTATTTTCCGTGATACCAGAAAAATAAGTTCCACGAAGCAAACGGACTAGTTTCGAAGCAACTGTTGGTTATTCTGTGAAATTTCGTTAATATTTGCCAAATTTGAGAAAATCCATTTTAATCACAGCATATGGAAAATATTTCAACAACGTATTATAAAAAAAACTGAAACCTGTAGTAAATAAAGGTACACTTGTCTACTTGTCCGGTTGGGAGTGCGTAGTGCTGGGTGAATTTGACGATTGGTCCACATCGTACTGCGAGCGAGTCGGGGTTTGTGGTGCCGAATTTGACGATGGTTCCGAATCGGAATCTGTTTGCCGTACGCTGGCCGAACCGGGTACAATCGATCGTCCGGCCGATTCCAAAGAAAAAACCTCCATGGGAGGATATACATGTGGGCGATGCTGTTGTGCGTATTGTTCGTCGTTTTCTGCGCTTCTAATACTGGCCGAATTGGGCGTGCTGGAAGCGGATCGACGATTTCGCAGATCCGACGGTGGCGACCAGGTCGTGGAGTAGAGCGGCGAAGCGAAACAGTAGCTACCACGACGATTGCCCGCATCGTAGCTTGGCCGGTAGCTGTCCGTTTGCCTTGGATTGTAATATGGTGACGTGGCCATGAAACTGTGCGACGGTGTACAACGGGTGCTATAGCTCGGTTGATACGGTGTTGTCGAGCCCCAGATGCAGTGGTTCTGCGTCGGGGTGGTTATGTCTGTGTAGATATTGTGGTGATTGACGTATGGCGTCTGTGGATGGTATGTGTCACTCCACTGAGCCTGACTCGGGGTAAAGTCACCCTTTACGTATAGCTGTAACGGGATGTTTGATATTAGAACATGTGTGCATAGGAAAATGGGTTTCCATCACCCTTACCTGAATCGGTCTCCGAAAACCCTTGCTCAGGTGCCTAGGGATACCCAGTGGGTAACTGTGACTGAAACCAACCTCGGGACTTAGTAAATAATCATGAAATCTGTTCGGGAAAAACTCAATGTTTTTGTAGTTTTCGCAAATTGTATCCTGTAAGAAGAGACAAGTGATCACCATGACGTTGCTTATCATAATATTTATCGCATAACTTACCGTCAGCTTCTTCTTCTTTTTGTAGCTTGCCCAATTTTGTGCTTCGAGGATCAATTTTCCACCCGGACGCAGATGGTTGAACATACGCTTGAATGCCGTCTTCAGGCCGGTGTCCCCAAAGTTCAAATGAATCCACTTGGTAACCGACAAGCACATAATCAGATCATACTGTTGAGTATCGTAGTTTATAAGTGACTCGTCCTTGAGTACGTAGTTCATCTGCAAAATAAGGAAACTTGATTTAAAGAAGAATAGTTTTACAGAACACCCCATTTCCGAAATGGTAGCAGATAGGTCTTTCGTGATGGCATACAAAACAAGTGCTTCATTTGCAGACCTTCTCGGAAACACGAGCGACAACTAAGAGTACCATTCGAATGTTTAGCATCTGCACATTGAGACATAATACAACAACATTTACATATTTTTGTATATTGTGCATTGGGGGCTCTTCTCCCCATTTATTGGAGCATCTTCCTGTTGGATGGCTTGTTTTCTGACCAATTGGTTGATCAAATTGTTGGAAGGCGATTCTTAACAGTACCAAGGAAATGAATAGGCGAATTGCCTATCAATCCATCCATTCGTTATTGGCCTTTCCTGATGAGAATCAGAGATTATTAAGCTTGATCAAGTTCAACAGTGAGGAGAGCCCAAAGTTAACGGACTGGTTTCCGTGCTACAATGAGTGGTAGACCACTATCACTATTATGCATTGTTTCAATTTGAAACCCCCATGTAACATATTGGATGTTGGATTTTTCATAGAATCGATAAGCTGGTATCTTAGTTATTAAAAATATCTTTGTCGAAAGATACGAAGGACAAAACGTCGGAGGGACAAAAAATAGAAGACACAAGGTCGAAAAAGCTAGAGCGCCCCATTTGGCATGACGCCGTTTGGCAATAGTTTGTTAGATTTGTTTAAACCATCATTTGGATAACGGTCATTTCATATAAAATGTACAGAAAAAATAGTATGGCCGCTTGGCATAATTGGCATTTGGCATAACAGTCATAAGGCATAAATATATTATATGCAATATGCATGTTCTATAATTTTAGGAGGACATAATATAACACCCTTTATGTAGATGCCTATGATAAAAAAGCCAGTTAAGGCACTGTAATACCAAGGCAGAGGCAACGATTTAGATTCGATTAATCAAATTCAGATACTTGTAGAGATTCTATTTGACAGCTCATCCATTCATCATCCACTAGCTCAGTCGTATTCAGATGAAACATATACAGTTTATGCGCATTGAATTTTTATAATAGAGTAATTCTCATTGAAACCAGGCCGTCATTGACCTAGTTCTTTCAAAATTGGTTGAAAATGATGAAAAAATTAGAATGCTATTTTCCTCAGCTCGAATGGATGAACCCCTCGCTTGCCGAGGGACTAAACAGTTTTAGATGAGTGGTTTTAGGTAGCATGCTAAAGAGTCTCGAGTATCCGTTTCCTTGATCTCTATTAAGCAATGTTGATGGATTATGTTTAAATATTTCTAAACTTTCTGCTGCGTCTAGTTTCCAAGGCGAAGGTACACTCCGCAGGATATTAATGTTATCCTTTGTCAAATTGTGCCCCTTTGTAAAGATATGTTCTGCAACCTTGGATTTAAATTCATAATGAAGTCCTTTATTCTTCTCTTTGTTATCCTTTTTTTCCAAAGTCTTTTTCGTCTGACCAATGTAGATTTTATTGCAATCTGGACAAGAGATTTTGTAGACTCTGGCTTTCCCTAAGACATTTATTAAATGTTTTGTTGATCCTATCAGTGACTTTAGCTTGTTTGTCCTGCTGCTGAATACTAAATCTAGGCCAAAACTTCTAAACTTCGAAATCAATGGTTTGGTAATGTTTTTGTCGAAATACACCGCTACCCAAGGGGTAAGTCACTCAGCACATTGTGCCGAAATTATATTCGGCACAGCTTGCGCACATCCATCGGCACATTTTCGGCATATCTTCGGCACAATCTCATTGGCATTAGATTGTTGTAAATAAAATGGGAGCTCTGCTGGACAACTGTCATTGAAGCAGTTCACTTAAAGATCTAAATACGAAATGTAGATTCCAGAGTGGGCTCAAGAGAAAGAGGCAGTTCATCAGACCTCATTAGTACTGTTCCCGTAAGTCGGAACTAACACCGTTCTTCTAGTTGCGTACTCAGCAGCTTCAAAGCTGTAATTTATTACGTTATGTTAGTGGTGATACAAAGGTAATTATATAATAATTATCTTACATTTTCAGTGTTCTTTTACAGATTATTTCAGGTCAACGTTTGCCATGGAAGGACGATTCCAGTTCAATCTAATAGTAAGTACAATCAAGGGTAAGTATTTTAGGTCCTTTTTAGGTTACGCGACAAATCAAAGGTAAGTGTTATGTTTATGATTTCAGGGAAAACATACCTCAATTATATCTAAGTTACCACTTACTACGTGGCAAATTCAGCAAGGGTTGAATAAACCGTTTAGGTGGCTATAATAAACAGCGGTCGCGAATTTACAATTGCTTCAGCCTCCAGCATGATCGTTTCCAACACCTCGTCGCTAGGATGTCGCTGACTATCGGAAATAGCCTTCATCGCCACCTTCACGGACTTGACCATACGTTCCCATGGTCCTCCCATGTGCGGAGCTGCCGGAACGTTGAAGTGCCACTGGGTATTCGCATTTGTGAATGTAGCGGCACAGTCCTCGATGATGTCCTGGATCTTCTGCTTCTCTTCTGACAACTGGCGATTGGCTCCAACAAAGTTTGTGCCATTGTCCGAAAATACCTCCAGTGGTGCGCCCCGTCTGGCTACAAATCTCCTGAAGGCCATCACGCAGGCGATCGATGAGAGACTGTGCACCAGCTCTAGATGTACAGCCCGTACTGTGAGACAGGTGAACAGACACATCCATCTCTTCACCACGCTGCGTCCGACTTTGACTTCGAAGGGCCCCATGTAGTCTACGCCGACGTACGTGAACGGTCGAACGAATGGTGTTAGGCGCACCCTTGGCAGTGGCCCCATCATCGGTGGTACAGGAACTGCCTTCTTCACCTTGCAGTACTGACAACTTCGGCCAACTTTTCGTACGAGCACCCGAAGCTTGTGTATGTAGTACTCCTGTCGTATTTCATTGCAGACTGTTTCCCCGTTGGCGTGCAGGAAACGTTGGTGGAAAGAATCCACCAAAAGGAAAGTGATACGATGATCTCTTGGCAGCACAACGGGATGTTTCGCTGCGTATGGAATGTGTGGTGCGCTTCCGATTCGACCTCCTACCCGAACGACTCCGTATTCATCCAAAAATGGAACCAGGGAGTGCAATGAATTTCGTTTTCCAACGCTGTAACCATTTGTTAGCTCGTGAACCTCCTCCGAATACGCATGCGCTTGAGCCTGGCGCCAAAGTGTATCCTTTGCTTTCACGAAATCGTCTCGATCGAGGCCTTGCCGTCGACTTTCTTCGTACATAGTTCGCTTCCAGATCCTTACCGCACGGTGAACGTTGGCCATCGTTCGGACTAAACGATTCCATTTCGAAAAGCGTTCAACGACAACTACCTCGTCAGCCGTTTGATGTACGGCTACCATGCGAAGTTCTTCGCTTGCCGCATCCGTTTTGTCTACTACTACTGTTGATTCTCTTGGCCACTGCTCTTTTGCATCTCGTAGGAATGTTGGGCCTTGAAACCAACGGTTATCTGGATCGAACGATGGTCCCGAATTCCACTTGGTGGCATCGTCAGCCACGTTGAGCTTTGAGGGTACGTAATGCCATTCATCCACACTCGTGATCGAAAGAATTTCACCAACCCGAAAAGATACGAACTGATGGTATCGGCGGCTGTCCGATCGCAGCCACGCCAGAACAGTAGCTGAGTCCGTCCACAGAAAACGCTTCCGAATGTTGAGAGTGAGCGCCGAACAAACGTTTTGCAACAAACGTGATCCCATCATGGCAGCCTGAAGTTCCAGGCGAGGGATTGAGAGCGCTCGAAGTGGCGCGACTTTTGTCTTTGCTGCTACCAACGAACACCAGCTACCTCCGTTGACCGACAACCGCAAGTATACTACGCATGCACATGCTGTGACACTAGCATCCGTGAACACGTGGATTTCTATTTCGTCAACTTCCTTCGGCAGAAGATGCCCGAAAAAGCAGCGAGGAACTTCCACTTCATTAATTGTCTCGTACAGCTCGATCCATCTACTCCATAGATCGTGTAGCTGCTCTTCTATGGGCTCGTCCCAGTTGGTACCCATTCGCCAGATCTCTTGCATTAGGATTTTGCCCTGTACAACGAAGTGCGCAACGAATCCCAACGGATCGTACAGCTTCATCACGGTTCGTAGAACTTGCCTCTTCGTTGGAACCACCCCGTTGCTGCCCAAAACTTCCTTGAGCCCTGTCTGATCGAATGTGAAATGATCTGCTGAAGGGACCCACACCACTCCTAAGACGCGTTCGTAGACTTCATCTTTATCTAGGTTCAGCGACTTGCAGGCTGACGATCCAGTCTCCCCTAGACGATCGAGCACATCCTGCGAGTTAGACAGGATTTTGCCGAATTCGAAGCCTGCTGCTGCGTGGATGAGCTGCACTTGTTCGACAAGCTGTACTGCTTCCTCCACCGAGTTGACACTGTCGAGAAAGTCATCCACGTAGTGGTTATTGATGATCGCGTCTACTGCTCTGGGATATAGTTCCACGTAGTCGAGAGCGTTTTTGTTCTTAACGAACTGCGCCGTGCATGGAGAGCTGGTTGCACCGAACATCGCTACGTTGATCACGTAGACCTGCACTTCATCCTCTGGACTGCTACGCCATAAGAAACACTGCGACCACTTGTCTGCCTCCCTAATCAGGATTCTCAGGAACATTTCGCGGATATCGGAGCACACCGCAATCTTGCCTTCCCTGAATCGTAACAAAACTTCCACGAGTGATACGAGAAGATCCGGACCCTTTAGCAGCATGTCATTAAATGAAACACCACCCGCCTTTGCAGCAGCATCCCACACCATTCTGATTTAGTTCGGTTTCTTAGGATTCGTCACCACTCCTAACGGAAGGAACCAGACTCGCTCAGGGTTCGTGTTCTCCAGCTCTTCCGACGACACCTTACAGACGTACTGCTTCTGTTCGTAGCTCTCTATTTGCTCGTTTACTCTTCTGCGCAGCTCTGGATCTTTTGCCAACCGTTTCTCCAA